TATTAGCCATCATTTCTAAGAACTGTCTGTTTTCCTAATTAGGTCCTTGAAGACTCCCTTGGATAACCTGGATGTGACTTACTGTACACTCTCCGCATCAGAATGGGACAGTCTTTCTGAGTTCCCATGTGTCAGTCAATTGCAACAACTGAACTTGCAAAATGTCAGATTGACTGATTTAAGTCCTGAACCCCTCCAAGTTCTATTAGTAAAAGCTGGAGCCACCCTGGTGACCCTGGACTTAGAGGACTGTCAAATTGAGGATCAATATCTCCATGACATCTTAGCTGCCCTGAGCAGCTGTCTTCAGCTCACCAAGTTCAGCTTCTATGGGAACCAAATCTCCTTGCATGCCCTGAGGGACCTACTACACCATACTGCCAGCTTGAGAAAGCTAAGGATGGAGCTGTACCCTGTTCCTCAGGAGATCTATGACAACAGTGGTACTCTCCAAATGGAACTCATGAGAGAATATTGTGATGAACTTATGGATATTCTGAAAGCCATTAGGGAGCCAGGGAAGGTCTTCTTTGGTACTGAACACTGCTCTTGTTGTGACAATCGATACATTTACAACAAAACCCCATTGTGTGAATGTCAGCGTTATTACTAGTTGCCTGTAAATATCAAGCTTCCTGTGGACGCTGGAAGATGAAAAACAAGGCACACGTGTCTGGTCAGAGGACACACAACACATGGTTTTAGGCTGATGCTCCTGGGTGGGAGGGAAAAGTTAGATGATGCTGGAGGGAATTTTTCAAGAGGAGGGAAAATTTTGACTTGGGCATGTTGACAGGTGTCATGGGAGTAGATTCTGGCAGGTGGGATATATAAGGGTGTTACCCCAGCATGGATTATAAAGTCATGTTCAGAATTATGAAATGTGTGTCTTCCTATCTTGATGATTAGCATGGTTTACAGTTTTAAATCTAAAAAGTCCTGTGAACATCCCCATAAAATGAAGTAGAGTTACTCTAACATTCTCTCTCATGCTTTCTGAGACTGTCACATCTCAAATGTGTGGCTAGTTATGGCAGATCCATGCA